AGACAGCACGGCAAGGGCAGCAGCGGCAGCGGACTCACGGTCAGCAGAGGTGGGGTCAACGGGGAGGGCAGCAGGGGGGTCCGGGCAGGGGAGCGTACCGTCGATGTGGACGGCCAGGGAGTGGCCGTCCTGCCACTGACCAGTCAGGTGTCACTGGAGGTCGACGAGCCACGAGTCGAACTCAATCGACCCCCCTCAGCATCAAACGCAGGACCGAGTCCGCCATCATGGTTGCAGTAGCTTGAGAAAGACAGTACTGGGCAGGAGAGCGCGGGCGGAAAGCGGTGATGTGTGGTGCAGTGCGGTACTGTGCGGTGGAGGGAGGTGCAGTACGGTAGGGTATAGTGCATTGCGATGCATTGTGGTGCAGGGCGGTGCAGAGCGGCGCAATGCGGCGCAGAGTGGTGCCGGCGGTGCAGCGCGGTACAAAGGAGCCGAGGACAGCAGCGAGGCGTCTAGAAGTCGGGGCCGCGGGCGGCAAGGTGACGGGGCCGGCAAAGAGGCGGCGCTGGCAAGGAGACAGGGCCGGCTGGGCGACGAGGCCTCTAGGTGACGGGGCCGCGGGCCGCGAGGTGACGGGGTCGCGGGGCCGCGAGGTGACGGGGCCGCGGGGCCGCTAGGGGACGCGGCGCGGGGCCGCGGGGCCGCTAGGGGAGGGGGCCGCGGGGCCGCTAGGTGACGGGGCCGCGAAGCCGCAAGGTGACGGGGCCGCGGGGCCGCTAGGGGACGGGGCCGCGGGGCCGCTAGGGGTTTGGGCCGCAGGGCCGCTAGGTGACGGGGCCGGGGGGGAGACCTACCTGTTAGCGTATGAGAATGTCTTACTAAGAAGAGAAACCTAGAACATATACCTGTTGGGTTGTACTCACTAGAAGCACACACCCTAGTCTAGCCTATAACTTCTACATAGATCATATGTGTAAGTTGACACACCCCTAGGCTAGATAAGGGGTGGAACTAAGCAAGAAGCACACAGCTCAGGGTGGCACTACTAGTCCAACCACTGAGGCAGGGGTCCGGAGACCAGTCAGCAAGAGTACAAACAAGAATGAAGCAAGCTAAGGCGGCACTACTAGTCCAACCACTGGAGGTACGGCCACAAGGCCAGTCAGACAGATATAAATAGTAGAGAGTACACAATCAGGGTCCTAACAAGTGAGAAGCTACAGGAACAAGACCAAGCTGGACACAGTGCCGATGATGATCTTTAGGCACAAGCGCCTTAGTAAAGATATCAGCTGTGTTGGCACCGGAGACCAAGTGAACTACGCAGGTCTGGCGACGCTGCTGTAGCTCGCGCAGGAGGAAGTACCGCAGCTGGATATGCTTCGCTCTGCCCTCAAGCCAAGGCTCCAGACACAGGAGAATCATGGCCCTGTTGTCAGCGTACAAGACCGGGGCAGAGCTAGGCCGCTCACCTAAGTCTGTGAGCAAGAAGGTAAGCCAGCGGAGCTCCTGTGCCGCCATGGCACCGGCGTAGATCTCAGCCTCACAGCTGGACTGAGCAACAGACGACGAGCGACTGGATCTCCAGGAGATAGCACCCGAACCAAGGCTAAAACAGTAGCCCTGAGACAACCTAAGAGTCTCAGAGTCGTCTGCCCAAGAAGCGTCTGTGTGCCCAGTGAGGACCACTGGCCTGCGTCCTCCTAGCACTAACCCCATGCCCGATGTACTTGCAAGATAACGCAAAACCCTCTTAGCGGCAAACCAGTGCTGAGGTCGATGTCTGCCTGTAGCCACAAAGCGAGCTAGGATGCTGAGAGAGTATGCGAGATCTGGGCGAGTGCAAGTCATCAGGTACATGAGGCAACCCACCAGCTCTGCGTAGGGGCCACTGGGCTCTACTGGCTCCTCAGGAACTGGAGCAGACAGCCCATGGTCTACAAGTAGAGGTGTGGGCTGTGCGGAGGAGAATTGAAGACCGAACCTATGAAGGACCTGACGCACCAAGTGTGACTGTGTCAGGGTGATGGTGCGTGCTGCTCTGTCCCTGGAGATCTGCAGGCCAAGATAGCGACGCAGCTCTCCAAGGTCAGTGCAGGTGTGTCTCTTCAGCAGCGCGGCCTTCACAGGGGCCAGTGCGTCCCTGTCAGAAGTAGTGAAAACCAGGTCGTCTACGTAGACAAGGATGTAGAACGGAGTCTGGCCGGAACGCACAAACAGTGAGGGGTCAGCAGAGGACGGAAAGAACTAGAGGTCCGCTAACGTGGCACGCAGCGTGTTGTGCCACTCGCGAGGAGCCTGACGCAGGTCGTAGACGGGGCGCCTGAGAAGCCACTGGGTCCCAGGGGGGAAGGTACTAGTGAAGCCCTGTGGTCGGCGCAGGTAGACCTGCTCGTGTAGGCTGCCCTGAAGAAAGGCAGTAGAGAAGTCGAGGGAGTAAAGCTCGTAGTCGCGCTGTGCTGCTACGTGTAGCAGCACCCGAAGAGTGGTCATCTTCGGGGTCAGGGCGAAGGTCTGGAAGAAGTCAACCCCCTCACGCTGCCTGAAGTCTCTGGCCACGTAGCGCGCCTTGAAGACAGGCGGCTCTCCAGGGGGGCGCTTCACCTTGAAGAGCCACCGACCATCGACTACGTTCACCCCAGGCGGGGGAACTGCGTCGATGTAAGTGCCGGTGGACCTCCAAGATGCCATCTCCTGCTCCATGGCAGCTATCCAGTGAGAGGCCCAAGGTCTCGAGGTGGCCTCAGCGTAGGTGCGAGGGGTCGGGATGTCGAAGGCGGCTGGGTCACCCTCAGGGACTAACAGCATGGAGCAGAGGTGGGGAGCAGCCTCGGAAAGGAAAGCAAGCTCGTACTGCGTGTCCTCTAGGACGTCACTGCCAAGGGCAGGAGCACCCCCGACGGACGGAGGACGGGCAGGGTGAGAGACCAGAGTGGTAGCGTAGTCAAGGCGGCGGGTAGAGGCGAAGTCAGCGACAGCAGCGACAAGCGCGTCAAGGCGCGAGACAAGAACAGAAGGGTCGGTAACAAGAGAGGCAAGAACCAAAGGGACAAGGGGACGAGCGGCATGGAGGTAGTCAGAGAACGGAGGAGGTGCAACAACAAGCGACGAGGGAGGAGGTGACGGGAGGAGGGGAGGACGAGATGAGTGGGAACGGAGCAACATAGGGTGGGAGCGCAGGACAGGAGAGACGGGACGGGCATGGGGGGGACGGCGAGACCAAACGTGGGACGGAGGTGTAGGGTCAGGAGACAGCGGAGGGGACACAGGAGGGGAACGAGGACTGATAGCAACCTGAGCTACTGCATCGCGAGAGTCCCAGACCGCACAGGCAAGCGCAGCAATAGAGAAAGCCTGACGCTCAGTAGGGGTGGGGTCAGCAGAGAGGGGAGCAGGTGCAGGGGGGCGGGGGAGCAAGCCATCACCATGGACAACCAAGGAGTGGCCATCCTGACGCTGACCTGTAAGCTGACAGCGGAGATCGGAGAGCCAGGCGGCGAAGTCAACCGCGTGGCCCTCAACGACCAGTCGGAGCACGAAGTCAGCCATCGTGCAGGGTCAGCGATACAGCTCCTCAGCGACACAGCGGCACAACTTCACAGCTCCGCAGGAGCACAGCGGCACGGGGACACAGCGGCAGCACTCTCCAGTAGGGCAGCTGCGAGGCACCCCAACGCGGGCGAGCAGAAGACACAGGGCCCGAGATGACACGGCAGGCCGAGTAGGCACGAGGACGGGCCGGGCGGGCAGTGGGAGGGGCCGGGCGGGCGCTAGGAGGCGGGCAGGCGCGACAGGCCGGGCGGGCGCCAAAGGCTGGGCGGGCGCTAGGATGCCGGGCGGGCGCACTGGGGCCGGGCGGGCGCTAGGAGGGGCCAGGCGGGAGCTAATGGCGGGCGCGACAGGGGCCGGGCGGCCGTGAGAGGGCGTGATGGGGGCCGGGCGGGCGTGCGCTGGGAGGGGCCGGGCGTGCGCGACGGGGCCTAGCGGGCGCGACGGGGCCCAGCAGACGCGACAGGGCCCAGCGGGCGCGACGGGGCCCAGCGGGCGCGACGGGGCCTAGCGGGCGCGACGGGGGCCTAGCGAGCGCGACGGGGCCCAGCTGGCGCGACGGGGCCGAGCGGGCGCGACGGGGGCCTAGCGGGCGCGAAGGGGCCCAGAGGGCGCAACAGGGCCGAGCGGGCGCGAGAGGGGCCCAGCGGGCGCGACACGGCCTAGCGGGCGCGACGGGGGCCTAGCGGGCGCGACGGGGCCCAGCGGGCGCGACAGGGTTGAGCAGGCGCGACGGGGGCCTAGCGGACGCGAAGGGGCCCGGCGGGCGCGACGGGGTCTAGCGGGCTCGACGGGGGCCTAGCAGGCGCGGCGGGGGCCTAGTGGGCGCTAAGGGGCCAGGCGCTAAGGAGGGGGGGGGGAGTGAGCTAGGGCGCGTAGGCTAGGGCGCGGGCGGAAGCGGGTGGGCGGGGGGACCTAACCTAAGCGTGATACCATGTTAGCGTACGAGAATGTCTTACTAAGAAGAGAAACCTAGAACATATACCTGTTGGGTTGTACTCACTAGAAGCACACACCCTAGTCTAGCCTATAACTTCTACATATGTCATATCATATGTGTAAGTTGACACTACCTACTCATGATACCATGTTCAAGTGAAAGAATAACTAGAACAAGGTATACAAGGGAACATAACCTAGTGGGTTGTACTCCCTAAGGCACAACCCTATATAGTCTACAGAAACATACAATATATGTTCGACAGTTGAATGGGTGAGAGTGGGAACGGGGAATGGGAGGGGAGATGGCAGGTGAAGGGGGGGGGAATACTGGAGTCACAACAATAGACCACTGGAGGACCATGCTGAGAAGAGAAAACTGAATGGAGAAGGGCGGTGCTGTGGCGTAGTGTAGGAGGCTGTTTCAGTTTCACGGCTATGTAGCTCGCAACCAAGCTAGAAACAAACTTGCACACTGCTTACTGTCAGCTCAAACGTTTAAGACTTGGATCCCACAGGCACCAGAAGTTGATGCTCTCGATACCCCGATGTACAGAAACGAAGTGGACAAACATTGAGAGATTTTGTTTCTATCATATAATAAACAATTCCAGGTCTGGAAAAGCCCTTCGCATAGTCGCTATTGTCTGGCTATCGTTAAGTCCAACCTTTTCAATCCAGGAAAGTGCCTTTAGACACTCCACACTATAATCAGTTATCGGAGATCTCAATAGAAGGGTCTTCAAAGCCTTGAAGTTCTGTAGGTACTGCAGTCCACGGTCCCCAATAAACCTTGGCAGACTGAGCCATGTCAATCTTGTCAAGGAGGTGAGCGGCACTAAGTCGTCATCCCACACCCGAATTGCAGAAATGTCTAAGTGCTCAAGTCTTGGAATTTTTGCCACATGCACCATGCTGTTAAGGATATGATCCCGATGCTGAGAGAGAACAAGGCTCTGTAGAGAGGACATCCCTGTGAGATGTTCAAGCCAATTCGTTGCGCCTTGGGTCTGATGCAACTCGAGACGCCGGAGAGCCGATAGTTTACCAATTTCGGGCAGCAAGTGTTCTGCAATCAAGTGCACTTTCAGCTCTTCTAGCGATGGCATCAAGCTGAGGAGCGCGATCGCAGCACCATCTGCTGGTCCATGTAGGGTGACGCTTTTCACGCGGGTCATGGATGCGAGGCGCATGAACCCGAATTTAGTTGCTACAGAACAGACCACTTCCATTGTGGTTGTTTCAGACTGGGCCTTGACGATTTTCATATCCTCACTTGTTGGATGCCGACTCACAGCATCTGGGATTGCCTGAAAACATGACAACGCGCAGAGTGTCGCGTGGAGCATAACGGCAATTGATGAAGGTTTTTCTTACACACATATGATGACACCGGAGCCGGAAGACGATTTCTCACCTCCCAAGTCTTCCGAATTTCCTCTTTTTGCTCTACCAGGGCTTTCTCTGCTTGCTCCAGTCTCGCAACCATCTCCTTCTCTTTCTCCTCCCTAGCAGACTTCTCGCGTCCTAACTCATTCTTAAGCTCAAGTATGCTGCTGCTACTCGCCTCCCTCGCTTCTTCCAACTCTTTCTCCAGGTTTTCCACTTTTTGACAGAGGGTCATCACCAGTGCTTCTTGTTTGTCCAAACTATCGTCCTTTCCGCTCTTATGTCGCTGGCTCTCCTCCAACTCCCTCTTCGCATCGTCAAATCGAACGGCTAGTCTCGTCCCTACGTCCCTAATCTCCTCCAAAAGCTTCTCGGTTGCCGTCGCCATTGGTCAACTTAAATTGCTAGAAAAGGAATTTGAAGTCGCTTCACGCACAGAAAAAACGGGTGAACACCCAGGGAGATAGCTGAGCTGAAATAGCTCGGCGGGAAATTGAGCTGCACGAACCGCGATCTATTAAAGATCTAAGCGAGATCCTGAACTGAACACCAGCGACAACGGCTGTGACTAGTGGAACTACCAATCACCAAATTAGCCTGTTGATGGTGATGACCGTTGGGCTTGAGGACGCGCTCGGAATAGCTGGGCTCAATTTCAGGAGTCCTTACTGGCATCGGGTCTGCGAAAAAACGAGAAATGCCGAAATTGGGGTCTGGTCTGGTCCGGTAGTTTCGTGTTCAAAATGTTACTTTTACTTTCAAAGTTCAAATCTCTTTTGCAAGACAATCGCAGCTTCCCGCGTTGGAAGTGCGCCCTCGGTTGGAAAGACCAAGACGTGCTTGTCATAAGACGGGGGCGTCATAAGTTTTCGTTTTTTCCCCTTGAAACCCTACCCGACCGCTTAAGGTTCTTAGCTAACCTCTTTCAAAACTCACGCACCTTACTCAATCGTGATAAAGTGAACGCTTATCACATGCTAGTTTCGTATTGAGCACTAGCTAGAAGTCTGAAGATCCAGCGTTCGCTGTCTGTCCCTTCACTCTCTTGGCTGGAACCACGCGAGAAATGCCTTCCCATTGTGATGGTAGAAGATCAGCCATTTTTAGGCATTGGCCGCGCGAGCAACGACATGTGGTGCAACGCCGACGAGTCGTATAACTGTACGCACCAGCGTTGAAAGGGGGGAGGAGTTATGGCGGATTTGTTGAGAACCTTCCCTCAGGGGGGGAGACCAGATTCGTCAGCAGATGCCGCATTATTACCAACGCAACCTACCATCAATTCTACGGCAGAATTTTCTGCGAAAGAAGCAGGATCGTCTGCTGGCTCGATCTCTACAATCCCCTCCGCGCCAGAATCATGCAAAGTGGCATCCACAGCAGCATCAGAATCGTTAGAAGTATCGGCATTATCTAGGGCCGAGTTGGACCATTCTCCCGCGCACGAAATCCCACAGCCTCACATCGCGCCGCAGGGAACCAGCACCGCCGTCGCTCCAGCCCCGGCGATCCGACGGCCAGGATACTTCGCTACAAGATCAGAACTCGGTATAAGCTCAGACCTCGGTATAATCTCGGAGTTAGGCCCAGACGGCTACAGTACTCTTTCAGCTGCGAAATCCCCTCCAGGATGGGCTGCAGGGAGCGGTGGAAACCCTATCACCAGCATGCAGGCAGCGCCTGGCAAAAACCCATTCGGTACAGTCACATCCGCAGGCGCTGCTGCAGCAGTGGCTGCGTTACAAGCACGCAGGCACTGGCTGGCCAGGCTGCAGGAAGGGTTACCCCAGGCGGCAATAGTGGTGCTCCGAGTGCTGGTGCTGGTGGCTGCTGCGTGGAGTGCCTGTGCTGTAGTGTTCTTCTCCTTCGTTATAATGCCATGGGTCATGCTGCATATCACCAGTGGCTCCCACCCACATTTCCGCGCCCTCCTTTTTAATCACACCTCGGTAGATTCAGCATCTGCTACGAGAGGCCTAGGCGGAATCGGAGGAGAGAAGGGAGGAGGTGGAGGGAAAGGGGGAGTGGGAGGAGTGGGAGGAGGCGAGAGTGGGTGGGGGGTGAGGAAGGGGGAGGTGTGGAAGGCGAGGAGGGGGGAGGGGGTGTGTGAGCTGGGGAGAGGGGATTGGCAGATGGAGAGGGAGGGATATCCGTTATATGCGGCAGAAGACTGTCCCTTCATTAGTAGAACATTCAATTGCCTGGTAAGGGGGGGAGCTTATGTGGTAATGCTTCTTTCTTGTTTCTGCCCTTCCACACCCTTCCATCCCCCCGCCCCCCAACCACCCCCCATCGCAGGAGAATAGCATATATACTTTGACTACCTCCACTTCACATGGCAGGAGAGCGAGTGCACCCAGCCATTTGCCCCCGCGCCCTCTTCCCCCCTTCCCTTCCCCTCCCGTGGTCCTTCATTCCTCTTCCCTGCTCCACTTCCCATACCTCAGGAGAATGGCCGAAGGACCAGTGAGTGCATCCAGACGTTAACCCGCTCACTGCCCCCCTTCCCCCTCCTCCCTTGGTTTTCCCACGCCTCAGGAGAATGGCCGGACGGACTTCGACTATCTCCACTTCGCATGGCGGGAGAGCGAGTGCACCCAGCCGTTCACCCGCTTACCTCCCCCCACCCGCCTCCCTCTTTTGACCCCTCCCCACTCTGCAGGAGAATGGCCGGACGGACTTTGACTACCTCCACTTCGCATGGCGGGAGAGCGAGTGCACCCAGCCATTCATCCGTTTCCGAGCAGATCGGTTCTTTGAGGCCTTCCAGAACCGTCGGATCGTGTTCGTGGGAGACTCTATACTTCTGTCGGTACGTTCCTTCCTGTTCTTGTTCTGTCTCTCTCTCCCCCATCCACCCCCCTCTCCCCCCAATCCCCCTTCTCTAGTGGTCCGTGTCTCTCTCGTCATCGGGTCTTCAGATGTTCCAGTTTCAGATGTTCCAGTTTCAGATGTTCCAGCAACCAGTGGTCTGTGTCTCTCTCGTCACCTCTCTTCCGCATCCACAACATCTCCTCTCTCGCCCCTCTCCTTTATGCCCGCAGATGTGCCTTCTCTGCCTTCTCTGCCTTCTCTGCCTTCTCTGCCTTCTCCAGAGGGGCCCGCAGTCTCTCCTCTGCCTTTTCCCTGTGGGCGCCTCTCTTGCAACCAATCACAGCGTCTTCTCTTCTTTCCCTTGCCCTTTCTTTCTCCCCTCTCTCGCCCCTCTCCCTCCTGCCCTGCTGCAGATGTTCCAGTCGCTCCTCTGCCTTCTCTCCGTGGGCCCCTCGCTCCCACCCAATCACAGCCTGCCAACAGAGCGCCTCAACCGCACCTTCCCCTCCCTCCTGCATCCTCCTTCGTCGCCTTCTTCCCATCTCTCCTCCTCTTCCTCCTCCTTACCTTTATCGTCTCCCCACTCCTCCGCTTCCCCCTCCTCCTCTACCACTTCTTCCACTCCTCCCTCTTCCTCCTCCTCCTCCTCGCCCTCTTCCTCCCTCGCAGACTCTAAGTTCCCCTCCCCCGCACCTTTGATCTTCCAGTACACGTTCCCCCATGCCAACACGAGCCTTGATTTCTTCCATTCTGACTTCCTGACCGTCCTTGAAGCCGCCCCTTCACACACGCCTGATCCAGATATACCTGATTCATTAATATCAGAGTTTCAGTCCAAGAGCGCCAATGACAGCAGTACGGACACCAGGAGCATTGTCACTAAGTCTGGTAGCAACGCCAGCATAGGCAGCGGCAGCATAGGCAACGGCAGTAGTCTTTCCACGAGTATTTCTGGAACCAGCCAGGAGCCAGGTTCCGATGGGTCGGATGCGGTAAAACCAGGTTCGGGCAGGTCCAGCTCTCTGCAGTCAGGCTCAGAGGGGTTGGGAATGGTGAGAGTGGTGCGGTTGGATGCATGGGCGGCGTATGTAGTGGCAGCACAGCCGCATGTGCTGGTGATACACACGGGAGGGGGGTGGGTGGGGCTGCAGCGGCGGTGGCTGGAGCCCAGGGTCCATCCACAGACTTCTCAAAACAAGGTGAATGTTGAAGGTGAAGCTGCTGAAAGCATGGCACCCGTGGAAGCGCCTTCAGGTGGAGCAGGAGTTAAGGGAGTGATGGATGAGGGGACAGTGGGAGGGGGGGGAGGAGATAAGGAGGAGGCAGGTGGGGGAAAGGGAGGGCTAGGGATGGTGGCAAAGGGGGGAGCTGGTGGTGGAAATGGGGGGAAGAGTGGGGAAATAAAGGGGAAGGGTGGGGGAATAAGGGGAGGGGTGGGGGAATAAGGGGAGGGGTGGGGGGAATAAGGGGAGGGGTGGGGGGAATAAGTGGAATGGTGGGGAAAATAAGGAGAAGACGGGGGGAGATCAGGGAAATAGTGGGGGGAATAAAGGGAAGGGCGGGGGGGATAAGGGGAAGGGTTGGGGGGATAAGGGGAAGGGTGGGGGAAATAAGTGGGGCGGTGGGAAAAGCAAAGGGAATGATGGGACGAAAGTGGGAGGTGATAAAACTGGTGCGCGGAAAAGAGGAGCGACAGGAAGCCAGGCGGGCAGTGGGATGAAGAAAGAAGGGGGAAAGGGTGAGACAAGGGGTGATAAGGTGACGGAGCGAAGGGGAACTGTAGCGGCGGTTGGAAAGGCGGGTGAAGGAATGGGGAAGAATGGAGGAGGGCAGGTGGTTAACGCGTCCAAGGAGAACACGTGGAAAGGGCAGAAGATGGTGGGCCAGGCGAAGGGAGGAGAGGCAGAAGGGAAGGCAAATGGGGGGAAGGCGAAGGGGGGGAAGGCGAAAAGGGGAAGGCGAAGGGGGGGAAGGCGAAAAGGGGGAAGGCGAAAGGGGCGAAGGTGAAAGGGGCGAAGGCGAAAGGGGCGAAGGCCGGGGGACAAGAGAAGAAGGACGAGAAGAATCGGAGGGAGAAGTCATCCGGTGGAGGGAGAAGAGGGGAGAAGGGAAGAGGAGGAAAGAAGCAAGGGGGAGAGGGAAAAATGAAGCCAGGTGAAGGGAAAAGGGGAGGGGTTGAAGGAGGGGTTCAGGGAGGGGTTGAAGGCAGAGTGAAGGAGGGATCTGGTGATAGTAATGGTGGAGACTCTAACACGCACAAGAGCAGTGAGTCTCAGCCCGATTCGCTAGAAGGGGGTGAGACCTTGCGATTGGGTGATTTTGGCGACGATGACATTCTACAGAGTGACAGTATCGGGAGTGGCAGTGTAGAGAGCGATGGGGTGACAGCTGACGGTACGGCAAGCAGCGGCATGGGCAGCAACATTACTGAATCTCAGAGCAATATTAGAGCGTCTCACTCGCTGACCGATGGTGACTTGCAGACCCAATTCAGCAGCAGCAGCAGCAGCAGCAGCAGCAGCAGCAGCAGCAGCAGCAGCAGCAGCAGCAGCAGCAGCAGCAGCAGCAGCAGGAGCAGCAGCAGGAGCAACGAAGACAGAAGCCCTCACGTGTCAGGCAACGGTGACAGCACCAGCAACAATGGGATTACTAATGGCAGGTTTAGTAACAGCAGTGTCCGTGGCGGCAGTATCTGGAACACAGATAGTTTTAGCATCAATCCTATTAGCATTGCCCGTAGGGGCAGCAGGGGCAGCGGCAAGGGGGGGAAGAGGAGAGGGAGAAGTGGGAGGAGGGGCAAGTGGATGTGGCGACGGCTGCTGAGCCGTGGCGAAGGGCCAGTGGTTGTGGCTGAAGACACGGAGAGCATGCTGAAAGAAGAGGTTGACGGTGCCTCGTTCCATTCACAGGCGCCTCAGACTCTGAGGCGTTTGGAATCGCCTCCAGATCCAGGTGGTGTGAAGGCTCGTGAGAGCATGGATGGTGAGGGTGAGGGTAACGGTGGCCTTCTTGTGGGTGAGTTGGTGGGTGAGTCGGTCGGTGAGTTGGTGGGTGAGTCTATGTTACGGGGTGGTGAGTTGAGAAGCGAGGAGGGGCAGGAGGAGGAGGAGCAGGGCAGTGGCCTTGTGGCGAATGATGATGGCGTCTTTGGTGAGGCTATTGGTGCAGCCAATGCGTCGCTCACCCAGGATGGGATTTCTGAGGAGGATGGCACTGCAGGTGTGAAAGAGGTTGGTTTGGGGGAGGAGGAGCAGAAGGAGCAGGACTGGGGTAGTGACCTTGTGGCGAATGATAGTGACGGTGCCTTTGGCGAGGCTATCCGTGCAGCCAATGCGTCACTTACTCAAGATGGCAGTTTTGAGGAGGAAGGCACTGCGGCTGCGAAAAAGGATGGACTGTGGGAGCAGGAGGAGCAGCGGGGCAGTGTCCTTGTGTTGAATGATGGTGACAGTGTGTTTGGCGAGGCTACACGGGGAGCGAATGCATCGCTTGACCAAGATAGCATGTTTGAAGAATATAGCCTTGCAGCTGTGAAAGCGGATGAACTGCCAGAGGAGGAAACCCTACTTCAAGCTGATGCTGGTAGAGAGAACAAGGAGGATGCTAATAAAGAGGATGCTAACAAGGAGGATGATTTACTGGACCAGGCTAGTGTGCTTTCACCTGATCTGCTTGACACGAATGAGTTTCTTGACCCCGTGTCAGCATTCACCAAGACCCTTCAAATGCTCCACCACTTCCTCTCCACCCAACCCACCGCCGAATCCATCCCGACTTTTTTCCTTGGGCTTCCCCGAGAACATTATTTTCGGGCAGCCCAGGACAACAGCAGCTCGCTATGTCCGCCCGACGACTCCACATGTCTAGAATCAGGGCGGTGCAGTGAGTTTTCGAGACCTAGGGAGTGGTTGGAGGAGGGGGGCGAGGAGCAGGCGCATCAGCAGCGGTGGCAGCGGTGGCGGTGGCGACAAGAGAGGGAGAGGAGGGAGAGGAAGAAAGAGTGGGTGCAGTCAAGTGTGGGGCAGATAGAGGGGGTGGTTGAGAGGGAGATAGGGAGGGGGAACAGGGTTGTGCTGCTACGAGCAGGAGGGGTCACTGATGCTCGTGCTGATGCCCATATTGGCGCTTCCCTCCCTACTGAACTGCTTACAGAGAATAGGGCAGGAGGGGACACTGGGAGTGGTTACTCTGATACCAAGAGGGAGGTGAGGGAAGACTGCAGTCACTTCTGTGTGCCTGGGGTGCCGGATACGTGGAATGAGATGCTCCTCGCTGCCCTAAGGCTACAAGGGATGATGGCATGACAAAGAAATTGTACCTGCTAGAGGAAATGCCTAACAATGTTGCCTTAACCCGGTTTTGTCCAAATGCCGAAGCAATAACAGGCTTGACAAATTCGACCCTGATTTTTGAAGGAAGTATCGTACAGGATCAGCAAAATTGTGGGATTATATCCATACCATGATTTCGTCTATCCTCTAGAATTCAGATGCTTTCGCTGGAAGCATATGTTCGAAATATATTTTTATGCGGGGTTCGTGTTCGAAGATCTAGTAGCGAATCTGCCAATATTCGCACTCTCCAGATTTCTTTCCCGCCAAAACCGCCAAACCTTACCGCATCTTTCCCTAGCGCGAGCCGCTTTTATCCGTACGCCGACCTTCCCCGCCGTTGCTCGTGTCCGTCGTGCACGTGCGTCTCGCGTCGCGCTAAGTCTCTTGGCGTCGCTGTGAAGCATCCGCTAAGCGCCCGTTATAAGCACGAGCCTGTATCGCGCCGCGGAACGCGAAGCAAGCGTCCGCCTTTGTCGCTCTCCGCCAAGTGCTCGCTAACTGCTCAGTTCTCGTTCCTTTTGCGACATATCGTGCTTATCGTAACCAACTGGTAACCAGGTGGTTACCATTTCCAGCCTGTCGTTTCGCCGCCCTCGCTGCTATTGGTAGGCGCGACTATTAGTTCCCCTAGTAGGGTGCGGTGCGATGTTGCAAAGACCGACTTAGTTCCACTTTGTTGCTGTCAGGTCGACTCGAGAGTCGCATAAGTCACCAGGGCCCAGGGTGCAACTTAGTGACCGAAGTACAACTCAGTCGCTTGTCATTAGTGCGACTTAGTTCCAGGGTTCGCTTTCACCCCGTGAAACACGGCCGAGTCTGCGATTGGGTTGGTGCCCCTGATTCTCGAGACCGAGTCCGTGACTGATGCGGCATTCCTTGGAAAAGGCTTCTGACGCGACTTTAAACGAAGGCTGGGAGGAGGCTGCTGAGACGCCTCCTAGTCTGAGACTTGCCTCCAAATGGGTCGGTCGCGGGGAGCTGGGGAGGAGGACCACGCCCCCAGTGGCGGCTCCAGGTGAGCTGAATCTCACGTTTCTAGTGCTACTAATGGGTGCTAATAACGGGTGCTACTAACGGGTGCTAATAACGGGTGTTACTAACGGGTGCTACTAGCAGGTGCTAATAACGGGTGTTACTAACGGGTGCTACTAGCGGGTGCTACTAACGGGTGCTACTAGCGGGTGTGTTTATAGGGGATAACAAGTGAGGAGAGGAGAGATGGGGAGGAGAACCACGCTCCCAGTGGCGGCCAGGTGAGCTGTACATTAAGATAATGCCACCAACGGGTGCTACTTATGGGTGTAATTAACGGGTGCTATTAATGGGTGCTATTAACGGGTGCTATTAATGGGTGTTATTCAAGGGTGCTATTAATGGGTGCTATTAAAGGGTGCTATTAAAGGGTGTTATTAACGGATGGGTTACTCGGGAATAGACAGTAACGAGAGGGGAGCTGGCGAGGAGGACCACGCCCCCAGTGGCGGCTCCAGGTGGGCTGTATAGCATGTGGCTTGCGCTACTAATGGGTGATACTAACCGGTGCTAATAACGGGTGTCTTAAAGCGAGGATCTCAAGAAGCACGAAACCAAATCCAAAAGGTTTGGAATCGGGTTGGCGAAATGAGCGAAACAGTAACACCGGCCCCCCAACACCCCTTACTACACCTCGCAATTTTTGCGACCCCCCGAAACCAAAACCTTTGGGTTTGGTTTTCTGCTTCTTGAGATCCTTGCTTTAATAGGGGATTAGCAGTTACCATGGGGGGGGAAGGGGGAATTAGGACCACACTGTTAATGCGTGTGCTTCTTATGGGTGTGGTAACAGGGCATAAGCAGTGTCGTGTGCTACTACAGGGTGTGCTGTTAGATGTAATCGGTACATCGGGCGACCGATTGGTGAGGTGAGGTACAGTGTGCTATTATCGGGTGTGCCCCTACGCGTGTGTGATCATGACACTTTCAGTGTACCACTACATCCCCTACTAGAGGATGTTTGCACAAAGATCAGATCAGAGGCGTAATCCCATGCATCAGGCCTCCTTGTGCCATCCATTCATCCTGCTCCCTCACTCTCATCCGCAATTTATCATTCGCGTCCCATCCCCTTCAACTCTTCCTTTCTCCCCCCCACTCCCTCCCCTCCCCACCTCCCACCTCTCACCTCCCACCTCCCACCTCCCACCTCCCATCTCTTCCCCCCTCTCCCCCCCTTCCCCCCCCTCCCTCCCCTCTTATTCCAGGCCCAAGCGTCGCCGTTATGCCACCACAAGTTGGCAAGACGCCGTGGGGGGGGGGAACACCGGGGGAGGCACAGGGGTAGGGGGAGAAGGGGCGGGCGCAGTAGCAGGGGGAGGGGGAGGGGGAGGAGGAGGGGGGGTGCGGAAGGGGGTGTACCACTGCAACTACTGCCACAGGGATGTGACAGGGGAGGTGCGGGTGAAATGCGCTTCATGCGTGGACTTTGACTTGTGTGTGGAGTGCTTCTCGGTGGGGGCTGCCGTGCACCCCCACAAGTCCAACCACCCATACCATGTGATGGTGAGACATGGGGAATGAGGGGTGCCCATTCGGTGTATAGGGGAGGTGCAGGGGTGTGCACACAGGGATGTGAAGAGGGAGGTGCGGGTGAAATGCGCGTCGTGTGTGGACTTTGATTTGTGCGTTGAGTGCTCCTCGGTGGAGGCGGCTGTGCACCCACATAAGTCCAACCACCCCTACCACGTCACGGTAAGGCGATGCAATATGCACACAAATGCAACCATCCGGATGTACTTTGCTTGCCCATTAATACGCGGACAGCTTGAGGAGGGGAATGGAGTGAGGAGGGTTGTAAAAAGGGGTGTGGCAGGGGAGGTGCGGGTGAAATGTGGTTTTGAGGCACCTCAAAACTAGAGAGAGGGGAATGTGGTGAGGATGGTTGCACAAAGGGATGTGGCAGGGGAGGTGCGGGTGAAATGTGCATCGTGTGTGGACTTTTGATTTGTGTCGAGTGGTTCTCGGTGGGGTCTTCCGTGCACCCGCACAAGTCCAACCAACCCCCATATCATGTGACGTAAGGTTGGTTTTGAGACATCTCAAAACCAACCTTATATCACAAATCATGTGATGGTGAGACAGAGTCAGAGATGGGAATGAAGAGTGAGCATAAGGTGTTCAGCGGAGGTGCAGGGGGGTTGCAGCACACAGGGATGTGATGGGGGAAGTGCGGATGAAATGCGCGTCGTGTGTGGACTAGATTTTTGTGCGTGGATTGCTTCTCGCGGTTGGTTTTACTGTGCACCCACACAAGTCCAGCCACTCATACCACGTGACGGTGAGTGGGAGGGGAGGGGGAGGGGGAGGGGTGGGAGGGGGGGGGATGCAGAAGGGGGTGTACCACTGCAACTACTGCTCGTCCATATCAGAGTGTTTCCATTCCGGTACAAGCAGCAGCAGCAGCACTCTAGTGTGCCGGTACATCTCTGCTGCGGCTGTCTGCAAACGGTCCGAGCCTTCTGTTAGAGATAGGCTGCAATTCGGTTGGCACAACTTGGTGTGTTGGCAATTTGTTGGTTTTAGGGATACGCATATTTGTTAGGTTGGGTGTAGCTATGTTTTCATCCCCAACCTATCCCAACCCAATCCATCCCAAATCGCCACGATTTGGGAGGATTCCCTCCGATTCTCCCTAATCCCTTCTCATCCTCTCCGATGCTCGGTACTTAAGGATGTATGCTCTTGCTCATTCTATCAATCAAGTTCTCAGTTTCTGACACCTTCCACCATTGCCTCCCTTCTGTTTCCCCAGGTCATGATGAACTTCCCTCTCATTCACGAGGACTGGAGTGCAGATGAAAAGTCACAGTTTACAAACTTTCCCTGCGTTGACTCGACGTTGCCCAACCCATCAGGACACGATGAACTTCCCGCTCATTCATGAAGACTGGAGTGCGGATGAAGAGATGCTGCTGCTGGAGGTGCGTTGGATGCACAGGTGTAGTTAGGCCACTTATTAACCAAGAAAAGGTGGACCTTCTCTGTTCAAACACAATGCTTTTGAGATGGACGGCATGGGCAAATGGGCGGAGGAGATAGTAGGGCAAGTGGAGATGTGACCATCACACCATGCTGCTGCCTCCGTCTGTCGTTGCCCCTTTCTCCCCTCTCTATTCTCTGGGCCGTGAGATGTACGGCATGGGCCACTAGGCCGAGGTAGCATAGCATGAGGAAAGGTACCCCTTATTTCCCCTCCCCCCCCCCCCCCCACCCCCAACCCCCACCCCCAACCCCCACCTCCAACCTCCACCCTCACTCCTGCAGGCCGTTGTGATGCTTGGCGTGCGCCGCAAGTTGGTGGAGGTAGCTGAGCACATGGGGTGGGGAGAGAAAGTGGGTAAGGCAGACAGAGGAAGGGCGTGGCATCGTGGTTACTTCCATATGAAAAACCGCAAGTTTGTGTGTATAGAAACGCTCCAGAACCCACTCATCAGAACGCACCTAGATAGTAAGGCCCCTTTGAACTTCACTACTGCTAGAGGTGGTCTCAGATTCACACAGGTGGGTTCGTGTGCCTTTCTGTACCAAAAAACTTACGGGTTTTCAGATGGAGGTAACCACCACGCCGCACCCTTCCTCTGTCTACCTTTCCCACGTTGAGATATACGGCATGAACAATTGGGCGAAGGTGGCTGAGCGCGTGGTGGTGTCTAACAGCACTGATGAGCAACTGCTGCTTCTCATCTCTCCACAGCATTGTTCTCCATCTCTCAGTTCCCCCCCCTCTCCTTCTCGCCCTTCGTCACTTCAGGCCCTTGAGATGTACGGGATGGGCAACTGGGCGGAGGTGGCGGAGCATGTGGGGTCAAAGAGCAAGGCCCAGTGCCACGACCACTACCTCTACGACTACCTGCTGTCACCATGCAGCCCTCTTCCTGTCAGTATACTCTGTCACCATACCATACCATACCATACCACCATGTCAGTGCATCTGTATGTTCACCATATCACCATGCCAGCATGTGGGGTCCAGATAGAGCAAGGGCCAGTGCCATGACCACTACTAGCTCTACAAATGCCAGCTGTCACCCTGCGGCCCTGTTCCAGTTCGTATCCCAATACCAGCTTGTTAACGCGTTGCCTCTTAGTGCACTCTCTGCCTGCTCTGCCCATGGTGAGATGTGAACACAGCACAGCTTGCCCGTCCATGCTTTGCTCACTGCTAGGACCTGGCTTGCCTGCGCACGCAAACGCACAGGAAAGCAGCCAAGGCGGCACTGGAAGTGGAGGAGGCCGCAGAGGCTTTTGGCTGACTTTGACCATCCTGTTCCCCCCACATTCCCTCCCGTGTGCCTCCCGTGTGCCTCCCGTGTGCCTCCCGTGTGCCTCCCGTGTGCCTCCCGTGTGCCTCCCGTGTGCCTCCCGTGTGCCTCCCGTGTGCCTCCCGTGTGCCTCCCGTGTGCCTCCCGTGTGCCTCCCGTGTGCCTCCCGTGTGCCTCCCGTGTGCCTCCCGTGTGCCTCCCGTGTGCCTCCCGTGTGCCTCCCGTGTGCCTCCCGTGTGCCTCCCGTGTGCCTCCCGTGTGCCTCCCGTGTGCCTCCCGTGTGCCTCCCGTGTGCCTCCCGTGTGCCTCCCGTGTGCCTCCCGTGTGCCTCCCGTGTGCCTCCCGTGTGCCTCCCGTGTGCCTCCCGTGTGCCTCCCGTGTGCCTCCCGTGTGCCTCCCGTGTGCCTCCCGTGTGCCTCCCGTGTGCCTCCCGTGTGCCTCCCGTGTGCCTCCCGTGTGCCTCCCGTGTGCCTCCCGTGTGCCTCCCGTGTGCCTCCCGTGTGCCTCCCGTGTGCCTCCCGTGTGCCTCCCGTGTGCCTCCCGTGTGCCTCCCGTGTGCCTCCCGTGTCCCTCCCGTGTGCCTGCCTTTCTCGAGGACCTATCTCATTTGTGCACGCAACACAAGCTCCCACGAAAGGAGCCAAGCTTTACTGCTGGCTTGACTTCTGCCTCATTTCCCACCTTTTCCCCTCCTTTGCGCGTGCCTCTCCCCAGGACCTGGCTTGCCTGCGCACCCAAGTGGACACGGAAGCAGCCAAGGCGGCAATGGAGGAAGGGGAGGCAGCAGAGACTGCAGCAAGGGCGCAGGAGGCAGCACAGATCAGCATTCCCATGGTCAAGTGAGTGCCGTTTTCAGTCGAGTGCATATATAGAGAGTATTACGCCTCAATACAATGCACGACGGGCAGCAGAGACTGCAGCAAAGGCGCAAGGGGCAGCACCGATCAGCATCCCAGTGGTGAATTGAATGCCTTCAGTTAGACTGTATAGAGGGAGAGTACTTTTTAGGCACCTCAAAAGTAGACTGCATAGAGGGAGAGTACTTTTTAGGCGCCTCAAAAGTAGACTGCATAGATAGAGCACGAGATCAGAATTCCAGAGGTCAAGTGAGTGCCTTTCAGTCGACTGCATAGATAGAAGGGTTTTAAGCCTTATAGCAAAGCACGAGAGGAAGCAGAGGCTGAAGCAAGGCTGCAAGAGGCAGCACAGATCAGCATTCCAGTGGTGACCAGCATTCCTGGTTCGAGCCAGGAATCAAAGCGGAGGATTCCCCTGCACCAATAACAAGCGGTTACAATACAAGCGGTTACAAGCGGTTACAAAACAAGCGGTTACAACGCAAAGCGCAACAAGTTTGACCTGGAGTGCGACAACGAGGCAGAGGCCCCTCTCTCTCTCTCTGTGGCTCTTTCCTCCCTGCCTCCCCTCACAACAGGCCAGAGCCCGCCAGCAAGGCACACGACAGAAGTGCTGCTCCCATAACCAGCGGTTACAGCGCTAAGCGCAACGAGTTTGACCCAGAGTATGACAACGAGGCAGAGGCCCCGCTCTCTGTGACTCTTTCCTCCCTGTCTCCCTTTACAACAGGCCAGAGCCCGGCAGCAAAGCCGACGACACAAGCGCAGCTCCCATAACCAGCGGTTACAACGCAAAGCGCAACGAGTTTGACCCGGAATACGACAACGAGGCGGAGGCTCCCCTGGCAGAGCTGGAGTTCAAAGACTCGGACTCGAGTGTGGACCGGCAGCTGAAGATCAAGATGCTGCACATCTACTACTCCAGGTGTGCACGGTTGGGGGGTGCTGGGTGATATTGTGTACCGTACATACATGTGTGTGTGAGGCAGAGGCCCTACTCGCAGAGCTGGAGTTCAAAGACTCGGACTCGAGTGTGGATAGACAACTAAAGATCAAGATGCTGCACATCTACTACTCCAGGTACAACTAATTATGCACAGTACCAAAATTATGCACAATACTGTGTGGTAGTTGGAGGCTTCCCTGGCAGAATGGGAGTTTAAGGATTCTTATTTCGGTGGGCACAAGCAGAGCAGTGGAGGATCAGGATGCTGTGCTTGCTCCACTTCAGGTGTGTGTGGCCAGGTTATTATCGCGGTCACTATGCGTGCACTTAGGCATGAGCATTGGCCCGGCCCGTTTCTGGTCAGACCGCCGGACCTCGGGCCGGGCCGCGCCGGGCCGGGCCGAGGTTGGGCCGACCTTGGGAGCTTCCTGGCCCATGCCCGGGTTTAGGGGTCGGGCCGGCCTTGGCCCGGGGGTGGGCCGGGCCAGGCCTGGGGCAAAAACCAGGCCGGGGGCGGGCCAGTGCGGGCCGGGGGCGGACCGGGCCAGGCCGGGCCAGTGAAGGTCTGGCCGAGTTTCGCGGATGGGTGGCCCGAGCCCGGCAAAATCAGGGCCGGACCAACCAGGGCCAGGCCGGGCTGCTGGGCATTTTGCTCATGCGTACGTGCGCTAGTTGGAGCCCCCCGTAGCAGAGATGAAGTTGAAGGACTTGGATTCGAGTGTGGCCCGAGGAGAGTGAGGACCCGAGGAGAGTGAGGACCCGAGGAGAGTGAGGACCCGAGGAGAGTGAGGACCCGAGGAGAGTGAGGACCCGAGGAGAGTGAGGACCGAGGAGAGTGAGGACCCGAGGAGAGTGAGGACCCGAGGAGAGTGAGGACCCGAGGAGAGTGAGGACCCGAGGAGAGTGAGGACCCGAGGAGAGTGAGGACCCGAGGAGAGTGAGGACCCGAGGAGAGTGAGGACCCGAGGAGAGTGAGGACCCGAGGAGAGTGAGGACCCGAGGAGAGTGAGGACCCGAGGAGAGTGAGGACCCGAGGAGAGTGAGGTCCCGAGGAGAGTGAGGACCCGAGAGAGTGAGGACCCGAGGAGAGTGAGGTCCCGAGGAGAGTGAGGACCCGAGGAGAGTGAGGACCACACTCTCGTTGGATGGACCACACCACATGCAGGCTTCAGGGGCCTTCTAGCCAAAAGGCTTGATGGAATGATGAGGCTGAACCGGATCTCAACTACACGCCATTTTGGCTTTTTGCCCCTTATACCTCCAGGCTTGAGGAACGAGCTGACTTTTGAGTCGAATCAAAAGTCATCTCAACCACTCGTGTCACTTTGGCTTTTTGCCCCATATACCTCCAGGCTTGAGGAACGGTCTCGCCGCAAGGCGTTCATATTGGAGCGTGGGCTGCTGGACCCGAGGAGAGTGGACAGAAGCATAGGGCTAGACCTAAGTCACCATCGCACTGTTATCTTCGTTCCTTGTGCCTCCAGGCTTGAGGAACGGTCTCGCCGCAAGGCGTTCATATTGGAGCGTGGGCTCCTGGACCCGCGGAGAGTGGACGGAACGATACGGCCAGAATCGAGCAACGCCAACAGCAGGGAGAGGACGGATGAAAGCACGAAAGAAGGGGGCGCGGACAGACAAGGCGGAACCGAGGGAGGGATGGGGGAGAGAAGGGGAGAGGGGAGGAAGCGCGGAGGCGGAGGGAGAGGAGGCGGTCGCGGGAGGAGCGGGAGATGTTTCTGCGGTGCCGGGTGTTTGCACGGTTCTTGAGCCCTGAGGAGCACGAGGGGTTGGTGCAGAGTTTGACCCAGGCGCAGAAGCTCAGAGACAGAGTGGCTGTGCTGCAGGTGAGTCTGTCTCGAGGGGTTGGTGGCCCCGAGGAGCACGAGGGGCTGGTGCAGAGCCTCACTCAGGCGCAGAGGCTGCGAGACCAAATGGTGGTGCTGCAGGTGAGCCTATCTATCCCCCCTCTCCTCGTGCTTTTAGGCGCCCCACAGCCTTGCTGTCAGGTGTGTGCGCGGTTTCTTAGTCCCCCGAGGAGCACGAGGGGCTGGTGCAGAGCCTCACTCAGGCACAGAGGCTGCGAGACAGAGTAGCAGTGCTGCAGGTGAGTCTGGCCTCCTCATTCCCTCCCTGTGTCTTGAGGCGCCTCAAAGCCTTCGCTGTCGGGTGATTGCGTGATTCTTGAGCCCCCAGGATCACAAGGGGTTGGTGCAGAGCCTTACTCAAGCGCAGAGGGTGAGAGACAGAGTGGCTGTGCTGCAGGTGAGTTTTGACTCCCTCTCCTCGTGCTTTGAGGGGCGGAGGGGAGGAGCACGAACGGTTGGTGCGTAGCCTAGCCTCACCCAGGTGCAGTATCTGAGAGACAGAGTGGCCGTGCTGCAGGCGAGTTCAGCCGTGCTTTGGGTTTCTGAGTGAGAGGACCCCAAGGGGATAGAGAGCTCAGAACCTCACTCAGGCACAGAGGCTGAGGGACAGGGAAGCTGTGCTGCTGGTGGGAGTGGCCTTGGTATTGGGTTATTGAGTCAGAGGGTCACAAGGGGATTCAGAACCTCACAATTCAGAGTTCAGAACCTCACTCAGGCAGAGAGGCTGAGGGACAGAGTAGCCGTGCTGCCTGTGCGATGGTGCTGTACCCTTGAGGGCTTTTCGTTTGGTCGACGTGGCACCTGACACTTGGTTGGAGCCCGGAGGAGCACGAGGGTTGGTGGTGCAGAAGCTGAGAGACAGAGTGGCCGCGCTGCAGGTGAGAGTGGCCCTCCTCTGGGATGGCTGATGGTCCCTCTGTAGGAATGCGAGGGGTTGCACAGAGCAGAGCAGCGCCTGGCGTGCCTGGCGCGGAGGCGACTTCTGAGTTGCCTAAAAACTGAGAAGTTTATAGTTTTTAGAGACTTTAGCGCAGCCACAGAGCCCGGGCTGCACAGAGCCTGGGCTGCACAGAGCCCGGCAGAGCCTTGCACAGGCACGGAGGCTGAGAGGCAGCCTGAGCAGCAGCTGCTGCTTCTTCTGCTGATTTTTCTGCTGCTGCTGCTGCCTCCGCTGCTGCCGCCTCCGCCGCCGCTGCTGCTGGTGGTGCTGCAGCTTTTGCTGTTGATACTGATGTGTCGGATGGTCTCTCACCCTGCTTCCTCCTATTCTTTCCCATTTCTGCAGGAGCTGCTTTAAGTCGACTCAAAAGCCGACTCAGAAGCCGAATCAAAAGCGTTCCCCGGTATTTGCTCCCACCCCTGCAGGAGCTGCTTTCACTCAAAAGCCGACTCAAAAGCGTTCCCCCCTATTCACTCCCATTCCTGCAGGAGCTGAGAGCAGCGGCTGCTGCTGCTGCTTAAGATGCTCACTCCCTTTCTGCCCTCCCATTCCTGCAGGAGCTGAGAGCAGCGGCTGCTGCTACTGCTTAAGATGCTCACTCCCTTTCTGCCCTCCCATTCCTGCAGGAGCTGAGAGCAGCGGCTGCTGCTGCTGATTAAGATGCTCACTACCTTTCTGCCCTCCCATTCCTGCAGGAGCTGAGAGCAGCGGGGTGCAAGTCTCTAGCTGAAGGCCGTCGGTTCATCCAGGCTCATTACAAGGACAACCCCGCTGCTGCTGCTGCTGCCATCGCGTGCCTTCCGCCTTCTGCCACAGGTGTGTTATAGCTGGGTAGCGCATAACTCGTAGCACACCACGACACCCATTCTGCTGCCGCTGCTGCTGCTGCTGCCGCCGCCGCCGCATGCCTGCCCCCTCTGCGACAGGTGTGTTATTCACCCTTTACCACAGGCGTGTGAAAGCTAGCTAGCACCTACACTACACATGTATCAAATTGCAGACAATCCCTGCTGCTGCCGCTGCCGCTGCCGCTGCTTCTGACATCGCACAACGTCACGCTGTTCTAATGTGACTTGGGTCTTCGTTCCTCCATCTCCCAGCCATCAGCACATCATCCCCAGCAGGGGGCCCCTCCTCAGCCGCTCTTGACATATCCTCTCACCCTGGATGCGACCTGCTATCAGCTAAGGTGCGATCATTTGGATGGTCATCTGCCAAGTTGCCAACCATCTACATGTTTCTAGTCTCTTTTCCATGTTGCCAGCATGCCTCTGTGCCACAGTGCCTATCACTGCTCTTGGCCATACCAGTTGGTTTTTCATAATTCTCAGAAACCAACTGACCGCATATCCAGAGGGTGTGTCCTCATCCCATGACGTGTCATGCCAGTTCTGCCACGAGATTCCTCTGCTTGATTGTCCTCTCAGGAGTGCAGACGCTGCTCACATATGTGACTGCTGCGTTTGAGTGAACTCAAGAGCAAGATTCCTCCCTGCTTGATTGTCCTCTCAGGAGCTAGAACTCTGCACACACATGCGACTGCTGCCAGGACATTACCTCCGGGCCAAGCAGGTGGGGTTCTAGTGGTTGAGGGATCGAGACAGCCAGCCATTGTGATGTCAAAGTGCCTCACACACTAACTGGTGCATACACCCTTTAACGCAGTCATCGCCACTTGAGGGTGCTCTTGAGGCTGAAGATCGAACTATTTTTCCGGCCACAGCTGATAGTCCCCTTTCCCTAGATGTCCTTGCCAGCACAATGATACTGGAGCTTGCACTTGCGCTGACATCACAGGGTAGAGGACTAACGGGTTTTTCCGGAAAAATTGTCTAGACTTCGGCCTTTGGAGCCCCTTCACGCGGTGACAACTGCATTAAGGGGTGCATGCACCATATCTATCCAGATGCCAAAGTGCCTCTAACTCGAATCACGACCTTGGAACGTTTTCCCAACACCTTCCACCACCCGAAGCCCAGGGGTTCAGCCGTGAACCGTCTCTTCCACCTGCCACCAGCTACCCTCTCCAAGTGCCGCTCCTCCCCTTCTTTGCCTCCCTCCCACCAACCCCAACAGGTTATCCTCCAGCAGGCTGCCACCTCAGGAGGCTCTATTTCACGGGCAGCTGTGCATAAACTCTTCAGACTGCCCCCAGCCACCACTGACGCCATCTTCAGACTCATGGTGGGAGCTGGCTGGATAGCAGAGGCTGGGGGGGAAGTACCACTGGTGGAGGGATGGGAGGTGGATGGAGGTGGGATGGGAGGTGGGATGGGAGGTGGATGGGAGGTGGGATGGGAGGAACAATGGTGAAGCAAGAAGGGATGTGAGGATAAATGCCTTCAGCCACCAGTGACGCATTTTTTAGACTCGTGGTGGGGGCTGGCCGGATAGCAGAGGCTGGGGGGGAAGTGCTGGTGGGGGGATGGGAGGGATGATGGTGAAGGAGGAAGGCATGTGAGGCTGTATCCTGATCCACAGACTCGCAGTTTGGGCTGGGACCTTTGAAGCATGAAGGAGGATAGGAGGAGTTGTGGGGATGGAGGCGGAGGGAGGGACGAATGGTGATGTCAGTTTCTCTGACCATTTCTGCACTGGTGGCGTTCTCGTACCTCCAAACTTGCACCAGTTACGTTGCAATTGCAGCCTTGAGGTGTCGTCTGAGCTTCGTTGTCTGTGGTCACATCACAAACAAGCTGTCATATCGTAATCACCTGGATAGACGCCCCTAGGGGCGTTTACTAGACTGGTTTGAAAACGTGGGGGGGCGTTTAATTGAATAAAAAATATAAGCCCATGGCGTTTTAAAGGGATTATATGGAAAATTAAAGTTTGACATCGACATGTAGCTGCTGTTTGTCGTGTGCAATGGGACTAATTTTAGGCGAGGATTAAAAGTCAATCGCGTTGGAAGTCCAGTCAACGAGGTGCCAGGCTGGAAACTTCCTTTTCTGATACGAATCGTGCTGGCGCGAGGTGCAGGGCTGACGTTTCAAAAAAAGGCACTCTGAGCTGACCCCCCAAAAAAAAAAAGTCTGAATGGCCTTCAGACAGAATTTAGGGACTCTGAAATGTCAGAGTCCAGAGATGTGCAACTCTGAAATTCTCAGGATCGCGCAAATGTACTCAGGGTTACATTTTATGTTATTAAGAAAAACTATTCTTGTGTATTACATTTTGCTACATTGGACAGGAGCCTATCTACAACTACTACTACCAAACCAAGCAATCACCACTAGCTAACAGGCATCTAGAACTCCGGCACATCTACAGTAATCTCATCATCACCCCCCTCATCGTCGGACAGGAAAGGGTCGTCGCCTAATGTTGGAGCCGCATCATTCTCATCATCACCCCCATCCTCCTCAGCCCACCCCTCCCCGCGTACTCTGGCACCTCCCCCTGTCCATCCGTTGTGTCCCCCGCCACCTCACCCTCTAGGGCCTTCCCCTTGCGTTTTCGTTCCGCTCTTGCGAAGACAACAGATCGTGCTGGCCGTCTCAGCTTCTCTCGCCAGGTCGCTAGGGCTTCGGTCCAATTGATGTCATACTGCAGCAGCGAGATGGCCATCAACTCGGAGGGCGCGCGTTGCAGAGTGAGCCACGGACCCAGGACTTAATCACATTCTGCCGAGAGAAGCCCCTTTCGCATTCGACGGTTGACAAAGGCAGCACGGCGCAGGCCTGCCAGAGGCGCATCAGATTGGGCCAGCGCCTGACACAGGGCACAAAAACAAATGCGGAAGAAAGGCAGTAGGAAATGCATACAGTGAAGGCGGATAACAAAAAGATGCGGTTGGCAAGGGCGGCCATGTTGTGCACACTTGGCAAGTAGAATGGAAGGTGGTGATTCAGAAACGACAATATGGTTGGACTTGCCTGCTCGAGTCCGTCTTCGTGAGGTAGTTTGCCAGGCCTTGGTGGAAACTGTCCACCTCGTGATGATTCTGCATGATCGGCGCCCAAGTTGCGAGCTCCCTCTCCGCTGCCTTCACGTCGAAGCCTGGCAGCTTGTGCTCGAAGATGCCGCTGCATCCAAGCAGATACTCTCTCGTCTTCTTCTCGCGCTGCGCCCGTTGTCTCGGCCACTTCGCCGCCACCCAGAGCTTCGTCGGCGACATCTTGCGCAGATCCAGCATCCGCTCTTGTACGTTGGTCATGGTATCCTTGGCGTGCTTCTGGCACAGCTGCACGCAGTCCTTGTAGCTGCTCCCGTACTGGTGCTTGTCGAGGTGCCGCTCGTGCATCTTGTACGTATGGGTGACGGGGTTCCCCTCCAAGTCGATACCGCGCACCTTCACCCGCTTCGTTCCGCCGCGCCCGTACACCGTGAGGAACGCCAAGAGCCAGGTGTTTTCGGCGCCGACACCGAAAATCTCCCCGAAGTCGACATAGCGGTGCCGCAGATCCCCCAGTGTCGCGTCGATGTCCGTTGCCACCTCTGTGACATCGACCTGCGGTGTGAGGGGGGGGGGACACAGAGGAGGGAAAGACATGAGTACTTGCACCAGAGGAGAACACCATGCTTGCAAACATGAGCATCTTACCTCTCGCTTCTGAAACTTGAGGTTGAGGTCGTTCATGAGTGCCAGCATGTCGGCCAGGTAGAAGAGGCAAAACTGAAACTTATACGAAATCACAACCTCATACAGGGGATGCTCATACTCATACAGCAGAACAATCGCCGCACCCAACACTTTACACAGGCGTCGGATTGCCTCTCCCCTGGACAACCATCGAACTTGATGGATGCCTTGAACCTCAAGGTTGGTGCTGTGAATCGCCCGCTGCAGATGCTTGAAACGACTGCTCCATACGCTCGACCGGCCGAGAAGGTCCGCAAGGGTGCGAGTGACTTTGTCGACCATGTCGAGGTCTGGACATGAAGCGGCAGCATCCTTCACAGCAAGTGCTTCTCTGCATGTACCGACATGGGTAGTGGTTAGCACACAGAAATATAAAAAGCATAAACAGACAGCAAGGAATACTTTAACAAACCTGTGGGCGATGCAGTGGGAGGAAAAAAGGTGCGGGATGATGTCTCGCAGTCGCGCCACAAGCCCGTTGTCTCGGCCGACCATCACCGACGCGCCGTCTGTGCTGATGCCAACGATGCGTTGAAGGTCGATGCCGGACGACTCCAGGTGGGCTAAGAGAGTGGCCATAAGAGAAGCGGCGTCGCACTTGTCAACGTTTAGCAGGGCTAGGAATTCGGTGACGACTCGACGCAGCCGCATGAATGTGATGTAGACGATCAAGTGCTTTCCCCGCGTGCGGTCGGTGCTTTCGTTGCATGAGATGCCGAGGTAAGGTGAGCTCTTGATGTGCTCCATCTGAGTAGCCAGCAGATGCGTAGAGAGACAGTTGACCATCTGCTGGAACCCGTACCTGCAGTGGCATAATCAGAAATGAGACACTGGTTAATTAGCATTGGAAATGCATTGAAATTTACAAGGTTCATATCAACATCCAACCATCAACCGGCGAAAGCCAGGTAGCCTTACCTGGTGAGATACACTCCGTACGACTGGAGAGGTATGTCTGGTGTGTCTTGCTCTGCCATGAAACGAAGCAGCCGGGGAAACATGGCGATAGGAGCGTCGTTCTTGCAAAGAAATTCCACGCACCGCAAAAGACGGATGACGCGGCGGCCTTCGACATCGACGGTGGCGAAGCTTGTCATCTTCTGCTGCTTGTCTTCAATTTCCTTTTGAATCTCGAGCTGCCGGCGAACTGCCGCTTCGTGGACTGTCGAGTGTTCATGAATGCGTATCGTCTGTGTCTGAAGATCTCGCCCGCCGTCGCCTGGCCTTGAATACTTCGTCGTTTCTTTGCCGAAGGCTCGGCAAACGCTGCACTTAAGAGCGGGGTAGCCGTCTTTATTACGGGTAAGTACAAGCCATGGGAAATAACGCAGCCAATCATTCTTATACTTAGCCTCCGCGACTAGGTACTTCTGCTCGATCAATTCCTCTGTACTTAGCCTCGGTGGCGTCGGTTCATCAGGGCGGGTGACGGGGGTAGGTGAGCGCGGTGGTGAGGGAGGGCGAATCTGGCCACCATGGTTGATATGCTGCTGTGTATACTTCGTCGTACGTTGTTTCTTCGCCGAAGAGACAGTCGATGCGCAGGGCACACTATAACGAACGGTAGAGGCAGTGGCGCAGTCAATAGTGTCACAGGATCGAATGTGTCGAGGAAAGGTTCCACTATCGATCAGTACAAGGTGCTTTTATACTTCCAGAGTACATCAGGTAACCAGGTTTATCTTATCCTAAGGGAATAGACCCTTCTAGAAGATAGAATCACCCTGCGTATAGCCACGCGAGGCTATTGGCTTTAAGGGATTACAGCAGGATTACGCTAGATAGAGCGCACCAATACATCCCAAGCCTGGTCGGTGATATAATGATAATAGCAGGATAAACCAAAGGTTAATGGAAAAGGAAGAATAGGAAACCAAATGAGATGCGGTAAGAAGAGAAAGGAAAAGGGAAGGAAATAAGAAAAGGCCAAGTGGTGTAACGGGGTCGTACTCTCACACTTCCCCCCCTCAAAGCTGGGTGGTAGAAGTAACACCCTGCTTGACAAGGTAGTCATGCAGAGGACGACGGGCGTTACCCATGTCGGTCTCAGAGACCCAGCTGTCCTCAGAAGGATCATAGCCCTTCCAACGAATAAGAAGCTCCACGGTGCCATTCCGACGACGGCGGTGTGCAAGCACGGACTCGACCTCGTACTCGGGTTCGTTCTGGACGAGGACGGGCGGCGGCGGCGGCGGCGGCTGGCGTCCCACGAAGATCGTGTTAGGATCTCGATAGGGTTTCAAAAGTTGGACATGGAAGGCGTTGTGAATCTTCCAGGTAGCTGGCAGGCGTAAGCGGAAGGTAACAGGAGTGACCTGTGCTTCAACGAGAAAAGGCCCGCAGAAGCGAGGTCGAAGTTTAGATGGGAGGTGGCTGATGTCCAGGTTGCGGGTGTCAAGAAGCACCTGGTCTCCCACCGTGATGGTGTGATCGTTGCGATGGCGATCGGCTTGGCGCTTCTGTTGCTGTTGAATATCGAGTAGGCGCTTGTGGGTCCGATCCCAAAGTTGGTGCATGGTTGTAATGAAATCATGTGCGGGTTGGACTGTAGCTGATGCTGTCGGTTTTTGTGGTGTGAGTGGGTGGCGTCCGTAGCAGAGGAAGAACGGCGTCTGTCCAGTAGCAGCATGTGTAGCATTGTTGTAAGCAAACTCGAGTACGGGCAGGTGCAAGTCCCATTTGGAGATGTCGTCCTTGCAGGCTGCTCGGAGGAGTTGCTCAACAATTTGGTTGAGGCGCTCGGTCTGTCCGTCTGTCTGCGGATGGTATGTGGATGACATGGCGAGTTTGGTGCCGAGCAGAGACATAAGTTCCTTCCAGAACTTGCTAGTGAACTTGGGGTCTCGGTCGGAGATGAGTGTAGTTGGGATGCCATGCTGTGAGATGATGTGACGAACGAAGAGCTGTGCTGTCTCCTCGGTGCGTGCCGTCGTGTGTGTCGGGATGAAGTGTCCCATTTTGGAGAACTTGTCAATGACGACAAGGATGGCGTCATGACCGCTGGAGGTAGGTGGTAACCCGGTGATGAAGTCCAGGCTAACCACTTGCCATGGTTGTTCTGGGACAGGAAGAGGCTGTAGCAGACCTGTTTTCTTCTGCTTGCTGCTCTTCATCCGTTGACATGTATCACACGAGGTGACGAATTTCTGAACGTCGTCTGCCAAGTGGGGCCAGTAGTAGTGCTTTGCGATACCGGTCAGCGTCTTGTTGCTA